ATAAAATATATGCTGAAGAAAAGTCAAGAATTCTAATCTATTTATATCAGATAAATGGAATTCAAGATAAAACAAACACTAAAGGGGTAAAAAAAGTATTTCATAATGATATAACAGTTATGAACTTTCATTGATCTAATAGCCTAACATCAAAATAATGTATTAAAAAAGAAAGTACACATTAAAAAGGAAGCCATAACCAAATGGTATTTGTTTAATAAATGTAATTTGTGTTAATAAATTTAAAGTTTAAAATGATAAGATCTTTCCCATAGATGATTAAAAGGCGTTTGATAAAATTCAATATCCCTTATTAATAAAATAACTGTAGTCGGGCTCTTAACATGATAAATATATACATAGCACAGTCCCAATGGGGAGACCATAGAATATTCCTGTTAAAGTCAGAAAGAAGAGAGTTTGTCCCATTTAAAATTGTTATGGTTATGTAAGCTGATATCATTGAACTGGAAAATGAAACAAGAACTCTAAAAGTTTTACTGAAATAATATTATTTGCAAATATTATAATTGATACTGGGAAAACTCAGGATTGTAAAATCTAACAAGTGATGTGAGAACTCAGGAAGTTTGGCTGTATAGTTGGTACTCTGTACCCTTGGGTTCCACATCTGGAAGACCAGAGCAGCCAAGAATTGAAAAAAAAATTGCATCTGTACTGAACATATGCAGACTTTTTTTCCTCTTCTCATTACTCCCTAAACAGTACAGTGTAACAACTATTTACAAAGCATGCACATTGTATTAAGTATCATAAGTAATCTAGAAAAAAGTAGGCCCAAATCTTCATCATGTCAGATTAGGGCCCTACTTCCTTAACAAGACTCCTAAAGCACAAGAAATAAAATCAAGAATCAATAAATGGAATGGATTCAAAGTGAAAGCTTCTTCTCAGAAAAAGAAACAACCAGAGAGGTGGAGAGCCTACAGAATGTGAGCAAATTTTTACCAAGTGCACATCAGATAGAGCACTAATCTCCAGGATATATAAAGAACTCAAAATTTAACACCAAAAACAAACAAACAAACAACAAAAAAACACACACACACAAATAATTCGATCAATAAATGAGATAAAGAAATGAGCAAATACTTCTCAGAAGAAGATATACATTTGATCAACAAATATATGAAAAAAATGTTCAACATCTCTAGCAATTAAAGAAATGCAAATTACAACTCTTTAAGATTTCATCTCACTCCAGTTAGCACAGCAGTTGGATATAGCTCAGTTGGCAGAGTGCTTGCCTCGCATGCACAAGGCCCTGGGTTCAATTCCCAGCACCACCAAAGGGAAAAAACAAAACAAAATAAAAAGAATGCAAGCAACAGGGCTGGGGTTGTGGCTTAGTGGCAAAGAGCTTGCCTCTCACGCGAGGCACTGGGTTTGATCCTTAGCACTACATAGAAATAAATAAATAAAATAAAGATATTGTGTCCATGCATAACTACAAAATATATATTTAAAAAAGAATACAAGAAACAATAAGTGTTGGCAAGGATGTGGGGGAAAAGGCACACTCTTACATTGCTGGTGGGACTGTAAATTGGTGCAACCACTCTGGAAAGCAGTATGGAGATTCCTCAGAAAACTTGGAATGGAACCACCATTTGACCCAGCTATCCCACTCCTGAATTTATATCCAAAGGACTTAAAAATAAAAATAGCATACTACAGTGACGTAACCACATCAATGTTTATAGCAGCACAATTCACAATAGCTAAATTGTGGAACCAATCTAGGTGCCTTTCAATAGATAAATGAATAAAGAAAATGTGGTATATATTCGCAATGGAATATTACTCAGCATTAAAAGAGAATAAAATCAGGGGCCGGGGTTGTGGCTCTGTGGTAGAGCGCTTGCCTAGTATGCACGAGGCACTGAGTTTGATTCCTGGGCACCACATAAAAAAATAAACAAATAAACAAATAAAATAAAAGTATTGTTTAAAAAACAAAAGAGAGAGAATAAAATCATGGCATTTGCAAGTAAATGGATGGAGTTGGAGAATATCATGCTAAGCCAAGTAAGCCAATCCCAAAAAACCAAAGGCTGAATGTTTTCTTGGATAAGTGGATGTGGATCCATAATGGGGGTGGGGGTGGGGTGCACATGGGATGAATGGAGGAACTTTGGATGGTACAAAGGGGAGGGAAGGGAAGGGAGGGGGCATGAGGGTAGGAAAGATGGTGGAATGAGATGGACACCATTACCCTAGGTACATATATGAAGACAGAATAGTGTGACTCTAGTTTGTGTACATCTAGAGAAATGAAAAATTGTGCTCCATTTGTGTACTATGAATTAAAATGCATTCTGCTGTCATGTATAACAAATTGGAACAAATTAATTAATTTAAAAAGTAAGTAATCTAGAGATAATTTAAGTATACAGGAAAATACACATAGATTATGTGCAAATACAATGCCATTTTGTATAAAGAACTTGAAAATCCACAGATATTGATATTGGAGGGGTGTCCTGGAACTAATCCCTTATCAATATTAATGGACAACTCTATATGAAATATGCAGGAATCAATAACCTACACAAATACAAAGAAGAGTCAGAAGATATAGTGAAAAAATGACTCCATTTACAATAGCATTAAAAGAGATGAAATACCGAGGATAAATTTTAAGATGTGTAAAGTGTATGAGAAAAATCTTAAAATGCCCGTAAAGGCACAAAAGAAGGTAAACAAACCGGAAAGGTGAGCCATGGTCTTGGCGAGGATGTTTGTTCTTCTCAGTCTCTGCTATGGGCACAGTCCTGAGATGCCACTAGCTGTCTCCTCTACCTAACCCTTCTGCCTTTCCTTACTGACAAGACCTAATGTGTCCAAGGTGACAATGCCCAGACTCCCTGGCAGCGGGGGGCAGCCAGGGCTCCTAGTTTTGACATCGCTGGGTGGAGATTTATGGAGTGAGTTTTTCATGCAGTGCACACCCAATAGGCATCTGTTTTCCATTTCCCTGTCATGTTGAGTGGAGTAAAAACACAAGTCCTGAAGGTTGAACAGTCCTCCTGAGACCTTGAGGAAGAATCCAAATGCTAAGGATAGCAGAGCCTGGATTCTTGAGGACTTCCTCTGTGTTACTTACTAGAGGAAAGCTAACTCACCTTTGTTTGAAGCCACTGTGGTTAAGTGTCTGTTACACACAATCAAGGGAAATCATAAATGATACAGAACTCAATCAAAATGCCAAAAGCATGGCTGTGGGAGGGTGGCGTGTAGTTCCCTGTAAAGCATGTGCTTAGCATGTGTGATTCTGGATCCAATTCCCAGCAAACCTCCCTCTCCCCACCTATATCAAAGGAGCACATCCCTTTGAGAAAAGAACACAGCCTTCTGAGAGTTAAACATGTTCGTTCTAAAGTTCACAAGGAAAATTTCACAAATACAAATAGATAGAAAGAGTCTGGAAAAGAATAACAATGAGGAAATAACCCTCCCAGTTATTAAAATGCATGGTAAAGCCACAGTAATTATAATAGTGTGGTGTTTCCACCTAAATAGGCATCGAGTTTAAAGGAAAGTCCAGAATCAAACCTAAAGGCACATGGAACATTTTTTTTCTGCGGTCAGAGTGGTTCTTTGTACGAGTGAAGAGCATGCGGATGATCTAATAACAGATTTGATAACTGGGCAGGCTTCCAGAAAAAGTGAGGCTGGACCGTGATTGCATATATTAAAATAAATATGAAATAGATCCCACATTAAATTTAAAAATAAAACCATATGGAAGCTGTGAGAATACTTTTATAACCCATTGAATGAGAAAGGCCTTCTCAGTGTGACATAAAAACTACAAGCTGCAAAAGATTACTAATTTTAGCTACATAAAAATAAAAACAAAGTATACACTAATTATCTATTGTTATGTAAAAATTTGTCCTAAAGCCTTGTGGCATCAAACGATGATGACCATCCATTATGCTTCATACATCAGACTGGCATGACAGGGGTGGCTTTATTATCCTTCAGTGACTGGGCCCTCAGAGGAGCTGAAGATGGGTCTGGGGTCCTCTGAAGACTCATTCATATCTAGAAGTTGATTCTGGTCCCTGGTTGGGAATTTAGCAGTACTGTCAGCCAGAACCATAACATGTGGCCTCTCTCTGTGGTGTGTGGCCTAGTTCCAAGGAAAACTGTCCTGAGAGAGAAAGCCAGGCAGAAGCTGGATTGATATTTATAATCCAGATTTGGAAGCATCACTTCTGAATTCCATTTGTTGCAAAGATGCCCAACCTCAGTTATGATAAAGGAAAAACAAATTATATCAGCAATGAAGAACTCGACAAAATATTAACAAACAGTATTCAACAACACATTAAAAGGATTATACAGCATGACCAACTAATATTGTCTCTGGAATACAAGAATGGATCAACATAGGACAGTCAACACAGTATGCCACATTAACAGAAAGTAGCAAGGGTGTTGAATTTTGTCAAGGGCGTTTAGGTATCAGTTGACATGATCATGTGGTTTTTCTCTTCTGTTAATGTAGAATATTATTCAGCCTTAAAAAGGAAAAAAATTCTGACAAATGCTACAACATGGTGGCGGGGGGCATTAGTTTATAACCTTGGGGACATTATACTAAGTAATCAACCAGCTGCAAAAGGACAAATGCTGTATATTCCACTTATATGAAGTATGTACAATAGTTAAAAATTTATAGAGATAGAAAGTAGAATAGTGGTTGCCAGGGGTCAGGAGGAGGAGAAAATAGGAAATGGTTTAATGACAATAGAGTTTCAGTTTTGTAAGAGAAAAAAAATGGATATTGATTGCACAACAATGTGAATGTACTTAAGATTATTGAACTATACTCTTAAAACAGTTATAATTGCAATTTCTATGTTATGTATAATCTGCCACTAACAAAGAAAAAATAAAAAACCTGCCATGAAAAACATAATACATTAAACTATGGTGAGATACAATACTTACTGTATTGGCAATGATCAAACAGTTCAACAGTGCATTTATTGGAGCAAAACAAAAATATTGTGTTTGGGGGAATGATCACTCACAATGCTCACACACACTCATACGATTGGTGCAGCCTTCACAGAGAAGAGTTTGGCAACATCTAGCAAGGTTTATTATCCTCCACATACACTGACAGGCATGAGAAATTTACATGTGGTCAAGCACAAGCATTGCAGCATCCTTGTAATATCAAACTCTGTTACTTCTGTTAACGTAGAATATTATTCAGCCTTAAAAAGGAAAGAAATTCTGATAAATGCTACAACATGGGGTGGGGGGGTGGCATCAGGGTCCATTGACAGTGTTCAACAAAGTGTGGTGTACCCTGATGATGAACTACTGTGAAGCTGTAAAAACAATCAGATAAGCCTTATGTGTACTTTATCTAAATGTATATCTAAGACTCAACAAGACATATTGTTAAATAAAAACCCAAACAAGCAATGTGCACAAATATTATGGTAATATTTTGTGGTGAGCCGCTTCTGCCGTTTCTGCAGACTATGGTCGCCATTACAAGATGGCGCTGGCTCTGCTGTGGTCTGTGACAAACAACTCCTTATTTGGGAGAGTTGGCGCATGGTTTTTCACCACCCTATGAGAAAGCTCCACGTGGCAGCTTTGCATTGGGGCTTGGGATGCTTTATTAAGGCTGGGAGGGGCATCCGAGAAGGAGAAGAAGAAATATCAAGGGCCTGAATAAACTGCTGAAAGAAGATTCCTGAGTTGCGTCTTCCTTGCGGGCAAGGGGTCGCGACAAGTAGTGCCGAAACCAGGGAACCAGAACTTTCAGCAGTCAGGGGTGGTGCACCGGTTAGTCCCAGGTAAGTGGGATCCGCGACCAAAGCGGGGTTAGTCCCAGGTAAGTGGGATCCGCGACCAAAGCGGGGCAGCTCCTCTGTAAAGAAAGAGAGAGCATTACATTTTATTGCAGCTGCACTGTGTACTTTCGCTTTTGTTTTCTGTGTTTCTTTTGTTGTGTCATTTCGCTTTTGTTTTTTGTGCTTCTTTTGTTGTTGTGTCATGGGTGCCGCATCTTCAAGTCCGCTTCTCCTGGCCCTAGATGGCCTGTTACGTTCCAAGGGCCTGGAAGTGAAACATAGTACTTTACAGAGATTTTTACAGAAGATAGATATCGCTGCACCGTGGTTTGCATTTTCGGGCAGCCTTACTGTACCCCTAATCTTGGTTTCCCCCCAACATTTACGCCTTGTCAGGATCATTCTTGGGAGAAACATCAAGTTGCTAAAGGTTTCTCCCTTTCCCCCTCTCTTAAGAGGCATGTTTATAACTTTAACAACAGTGCCAACTCCTCTACAGGAGTAGGTTGGTCCTGGTTTCAATGGCTGATTTCCAATGAGAAGGGGGCTTCAGCCGATATTTCTGCATTGGCTCAATTGCTGGGAGCCAAAAGCTGGCTGGCTAATGTTTCTGGCACTGTTAGGGAGAGTGAACGAGGTAATAGACTTACATCTGTTTCGTTCAACTCTCTGCTATATAATGCCACATTGCCCCCTGCAATGGTCTGTGTCCAATCCCCGTTCTTGCTCCTTTTGGCTAATGACACCTCGTCGGGGATGCTGGATTGTTCTAGTGTTACCTGTCTCTTATCTGAGTGTTGGAATGGTTCTTGGACTGTAGCAGTGGTTATGAAAATTCCAACTTTTGTCCCAATCCCAGTCACTGCGGACCCAGATAAATTCCCCATTGTTGAGCTACTTAGAGTCCGCAGGGATTTTGGAATTACGGCAGCTATAGTGACAGCTGTGGCAGTGTCTGCTGCTGCAGCGGTTACGGCCGGAGTGGCCATGGCCAGTCAAGTACAAACTGCTGCCACTATTAATCAAGTTGTTCAACAAACTTCCACCATACTTGAATCCCAAAATACAATTAATCAACATATTTTGTCAGGGATTTTAGCTGCCAACCAAAGAATAGATTTACTCCAAGCTCAGGTAGAAGAATTGGCTGACTTGGTGCTTTTGGGTTGTGTTGACCAACGTGCACATTTATGCATAACCTCTGTCAGATTTAATGATTCCAGAAATGCCTCCCGCATCATCGGAGAGTATCTATCCGGAACCTGGTCCATGGAAGCAGAAGACTTGATCCAGTCTCAACTAACTCAGATTGCTGTTTTGAACAGTACCCGTGTCGATCCCGTGGCTTTGGGTCAATTCACCGATTGGATATCTTCTGCTTTTTCCTTCTTCAAAGAGTGGGTGGGGGTAGGCATTTTTGGTGCAATGTGTTGCTTCGGTATGTTCCTCTGTTTGTGGTTTCTCTGTTGCCTTAAGGCCCGCAGTGCTCACGATAAGGCTATGATCATACAAGCTCTTGAAGCTTTAGAAAATGGCAACTCACCTCAAGTCTGGCTTGCACATCTTAAACAGTAAACCTTTGACATGGTCATTACACCCCAAGTTATTATAACATTGCACTGGGATCGACATGACTTTCCTTGTTATTCTCTTAGTGTTGGAAAGCCCTTGCACTCTGCCGGTCTTACTGCCATTGCACGCAGATGGGTTTCCACACTAGTGCTTTTCTATCGTCTTAAAGTCCGTGCCTTTCTTTCAGGGTGCTGTCAACTTGTTTGTCATTATAAACAGCCACAGTTCAGCCTCAGCTATCCCCCTTCGTCCACCATCGTCACGATACAGGATGCGAGGCAAGGCACTGCACTTGAGTGATCCTTGACGTGGACCTCAAGGAGAGCATGTCCTATTGCATGCGGGTTAGACGCGTCCACGCCCCGCCCCACGAAAAAAGGCGTCGGCTGATATGGCCTCAGATCTGGGGAAGGGCCCTCCTTAGGACTGAGCCATACTATGCAGCCACTTCTGCACAGTGGGATAGGACCTCTACTCTCGCCTGTATTGTTTTAAGAAAACAGAAAAGGGGGAACTGTGGTGAGCCGCTTCTGCCATTTCTGCAGACTATGGTCGCCATTACAAGATGGCGCTGGCTCTGCTGTGGTCTGTGACAAACAACTCCTTATTTGGGAGAGTTGGCGCATGGTTTTTCACCACCCTATGAGAAAGCTCCACGTGGCAGCTTCGCATTGGGGCTTGAGATGCTTTATTAAGGCTGGGAGGGGCATCCGAGAGAGAGAAGAAGAAATATCAAGGGCCTGAATAAACTGCTGAAAGAAGATTCCTGAGTTGCGTCTTCCTTGCGGGCAAGGGGTCGCGACAATATTTTACATCTGATGGTTTAAACATATAGCCACAAACTCTTTGTTACTTTTCTCACTGAGGAATAAAGTCCATGCCTCATCCTTGAAACTGGGCAAAGCTCTGTGACCGTCTTAACCATAGTGACTATGGGATTATGAAACTTCTGTCCAGATCCCTGCAACATTGCTTTGGGAGAGCGGAATCTGCCATGTCATGAGGAAGTCCAGGCCACCTGGGAAGACTACATGTGGGACATATGGTCAACAGTCCCAACTGAGCTCCACATTTAAGCCATCCTAGCACAAGGGGTCCAGACATAGGAATCGAGGATCCTTCAGACAGGGTTGGAGCAGAAGTAAACCATCTCTTAGAACCCTAAAAAGTTCCTTATCCAGAATCTATGGCTTTATGTAAGTCAGGATTCTGTTTCTATGACAAAATACTCAAGGCAAACAACTTATAGAGAGGAAAAACTCATTTTGACTCATGGTTTCAGAGGTTTTAGGTCATGGTCACTTGGCCCTGTTGCCTGGGGGCCCATGTCAGGGTAGTGGGACCTAATGAAAGTGTGAGGTGGAGGAGTCTGTTTACTTCATGGAAAACAGGAAGGAGGGAGAGTGGGAGGGAGAAATAGAGGATGAGAGAGAGAGAGAGAGAGAGAGAGAGAGAGAGAGAGAGAGAGAGAAATAGATTGAGAAAGGTACCAGGACCCAAATATCCCTTCAAGGGTGTGCCTCAGTGACTAACTTCCTTCCTCCCACCAGGCCCCACCTCCTCAAGGTTCCACCCCCTCCCAATAGCACAACATAGTGGGGCCCAAGCCTTCTACACATAGGTCTTTGGGGAACACTTCCAAACTGTAACAAGCTTAATGCCGCGGGTATTGTTTTTTGCCACTAATGTGGAGTGTTTTATTACCCAACAATAGGAGTGAGGGGAGCACACGTGGGAAGATGTTGGAACCGTGAAAGCTCCTGGAGAGGGGAACTGGGTGAGTGGGGGATGAGAAGGAAAGCCTGTCCTTCTACTGGGCACCCTTTGGTAGGTCTTAAAATAGATGTTTCTTTACAAAATAATAATAATAATAGACATAAGGAAGAAAGAAACAAAATCGTTCTTATTAGTCGATAATACAACCTTGTCTATAAAGAACCCAAGAGAATTATTTAGTTGTCAATGGACCTTTATTTTTTTTTTTATTTATTGATACGCAGTGCTGAGAATCAAACCCAGCACCTCACACTTGCTAGGCAAGTGCTCTACCCACTGAGCCACAACCCTAACCCCCCCAAGAGAATTATTTAGTAAATTAAGATTAATAAGAGAACTCAGCATGCTATCATATCACTGTAGTATGAAGCTAACCGAGGCCCTTCCTATGTTCCAGTAGTAATTGAGGGGGAAATTCCGCTACCGCTACCACCACCTCCAAACCACAGCTCACCGTCAGTAATTTATTTTTTCAGCTGGATGTCCTTTTAAAATGCAGGTCTTGAGAAAGGCATCTCGAATCCCCCGACCAGGTGGTTCCCAGGGAGGATGGAAGGGGTCCAGGAAGGATGCAGAGACGGGGTGAGACCAAGGGGGTGACCTTGGCCCTTCTTCAGTGTCCTTTGCTCTCCAAGAAGTGCTGCTGTTTTGGGGCTCTCTAGTCAGAACAGTCGACCAGCAGTGAGCGTCTGAGAGGATGAGGGAGGGAAGCAAAGAGGTTAAATAGTGACTGAGGGCAGGCCGGGAGGTTGGGGAATGTGGTTTTGGATTAGTGTCCTTCGAGACCTCTGCCTTCCTGGTGGCTGGAGCTCTCCCAGAGACAGGGCATGTGGAATTGGATGGCTGAACACAAGGCAAAGTCCAAGGAACAGAGGGCACGTCTCAAGAGAAGGGCTAATGCCTAAGCCAGTGGTTCTGAACCCTTGATACCCCCGGGGACACACTACAAATGATATCCACGCAGAAAGCAGATTCGGACTTACTCTACAGACACTGAGATTTGGGTAACAGGCTGTCTGCAGATGCATTTTCACACAGGGTAGTGCCATGGAACTTGGTGGAAGAAAGCACGGGTTGCAAAAGGGCGGTTGGAAATGCGGAATCAGCCAGTGAGGCTCCAACGCCAGCCTCAGGCCAGACCTTGCCCCTGGCTTATTTTCCTGGTCCATATGGCAGAGTCATCTGGAGAGGGAAATCCATATGATAAAATTGGTGGACAAGGGCCATTGAGTTTGACCAACCACTTCCCTTGTACTGAGTCAGACTTGCCCAGAAGTTCTGAGTGGTCCCTGGGCTTCCCATGCGATGCCCTCCAGGAGAAGTCATGGCAGCCGCAGACAGGGGACCAGGCCCCGGGTGGCTTGTTCACTGTCATGTTGTGTGTGTCTATACTGAGGACAGTGGGCCTGTCCTTTGGGCCTGGATGCCATCAGGGGCTCTCTGAACTGCCTGGCTAAGCACATCGACACAGTGTGTTTTCCTGCTGCCAAAGGTGATCCCACCTCTTTCTGCTCTTCTGGGCAGCTCGCCATTGGCTGGGGGCTCAGCTCTGCAGGGATCTGCACCGAAGGAAGATGATGGATGGGCCCCTGAGCGGAGGGGAGGCACCTCATCAACTGTGTCGTCTTTCTGGAGGGAGGGCAGCTTCAGCTCACTGGTCCTGGAGGAGAGGTTGAGTGTATCAGAATCTTCAAAGGCTGTAGGGAAAATGGCCACGAGCCTCACTCCAGATTAGGCCTTGCTGGTGACCTCAGCATGTGGGGCCATCAGGCCTGAGGCTCTCAGGTGCTGATCTGGCTTCTGGACCAGGAGTGATTCTAGGCTGTCTCTGGCTCACCTTGGGAGTTAATCATACCTCTGTCCCTGTAGTCAATATCTCCTCTCAATCCTCTGTCTCTTGTGCTCTGTTTTAATCTGTTTTCTGCTGCTGTAACAGAATGCCACAGGCTGGATAATTTGTAAAGAAAAAGAGTTAGCCCAGGCAACTTAGTGAGACCCTGTCTCAAAATAAAAATGGCTTGGAATGGAGCTCAGTGGTAAAGTGTCCCTGAGTTTGATTCCCAGTACAAAAAGAAAAAAAGAAAGAAGAAGAAGAAGAAGAAGAAGAAGAAGAAGAAGAAGAAGAAGAAGAAGAAGAAGAAGAAGAAGAAGAAGAAGAAGAAAGACAAGGGGGAGAGGGGGGAGGGAGAGAGAAAAGGAAAAAAGAGGAGAAGGAAGGGAAGGGAAGGGAAGGGATAAGTTTAGTTGTCTCATGGTTCTGGTATTGGGAAATCCAAGGGCACAGAGAAAGCATCTGGTGAGAGCCTTTGTGCTGCCTCCTAACCTGGCAGAGGGCACAAGATAGGGAGCTACTGGGAACTTAGGTCTCTCTTCTTCTTCTTAGAAAACCACTAATGCCAACAGGAGGGATCCACCTTAAAGACATCATGTAGTCCTAAATACCTCCCCAGGGCCCTATCTCCAAATACTACCAATAAGTAGCTTTGAAGATTAAGCTTCTTATTCATGAACTTTTGGGGGTACTCATCAAATCATAGCCTCGCCTCCCACACAGTCTGAGCCACATCCTCCAGACTTATTTATTCTCCTTCCATGGGTTCTGGCTCCTCACCCTGGAGCTCCCGTTCTGTTGCTGGGATGTGCCTACATCATTAACCTCTGTAGACCTCCAATCCTCCCTCCCCCCAACTAGTGGGAACAGACACTGGACCACACTGCTTTCCCTGCAGTACCTTGGTCACCCTGTCTGTCCCATCTTGGGCCTGGAGATACTTGGGTCTGCCAGTGCTTACTGCCTTCATGTCCCCTTGTGGCCCCACTCTTCTTTCCTCATTGACTCTCCACATTCTCATCCTGTGGCTCACCCTGCCCCAGGATACCAACCCCTCTCTGTGGTCCCCACCTTCCAGTCCAGGTTCTTCTCTGCTCACCCATGCCTGGCCCTTCCCATTTCAACTCAGGTCAGCATCCAGAACCCATGTGGCCGTGACTTACATGGCCTGCCTAACACCCACAATTCCCTGGTTTCCCACCTTCTGTGATGGCCACCACCTGTCACTGGCCAGGCACTTGTCTGCTGGGCACTGTCTTGAATGCCAATGTGGAGTCCTTGCTGGTAACCTTGGCATCTGGAACATGCAGGTGAAGGGATCTCAGATATAGCCAATACTGTGGAGCTGGCTTTTGAACCAGAAGTAATTCCAGGTGGCCCCTGACTCACCCTGGGAGTTAGGATGCATGAGTAGGTGGGGTACATGCATGCATGCGTCCTTCTACCCATCCATCTACACAGGAAGTCCTCCCAAATCAATGCCTGCCCTTCTCTGCCTCAGACTCTCACAAGGAGCAGCTTCTCTAGCAGGAATTGCTGAATGTGGGGCAAATCATTTCATGGTTCTGGGGTCTCCTGGTACTTGGGTTTCAGTGGGAGGGGACAAGAAACTAGGCTGACTTGTGAGGACAGATATCCTGGAGCATAGTTAGGGCTTAATGAATTGATTGACAGGATGCTGGAGCATCATAGGTACTTCCTAGGAAGGCAACTGAGATCCTCTGAGTCCTTCCCATTCTTCCATCTGTCTACCTGCTCCTGCCCTGCATACATCCATCCAGCCATCTATGAAGCAGGGTAGCTTAGTACAGTGTCACAAACTGCATTGTCCATAGGGTCCTATGGTCTTATGGAGTGGATCCAAGGGGAAGATGTTCAGGGGTCTTTGATCTTGACTTAATGTTGGAGGTGCAACAGAGAGTGGTGAGGACTGGGGAAAACTAGGAAGACAAATAACCTATAAAGGAATCTTCAGTTACCTGACTTGGCTAATGTTTGCCATGAGGAAATGTAGACCTAATTAGGCCTGATATTCCTGATTTTACAGAAAATCCAGAAATGTGTGTGTGTGTGTGTGTGTGTGTGTGTGTGTGTGTTTGGTACTGGAGATTGAATTCAGGGCACTCAACTGCTGAGCACCTCACTTTACTGAGGCTGGCTTTGAACTCACGATCCCCACTGCCACAGCTTCCTGTGCCACTGGGATTATAGGTGTGTGTCTCTGTGCCTGGACAGAAATGTGTGTTCTTATATGAACTCTCCTGATTGTTAAATGTTGATGACTCAAAATTTTGAAACACTGGATAGGCTACCAATTTTCAGTCTCTGATCAGGGATGGAAAAGATAGGTTTTGGAGTTAGATTTAAAGCTTGCCACTTGATGTATGAGGGCAATTCACTCAACCAGCCCAACCCTCAGTTTCCTGTTGTGTAGATGGGTAAAATCCGCCTACCCCACAAGGTTGTTATTGAAGCCAGAATTAGACAGGCAGTCAGTATAGATAGGTAAATCGAGTCAGGTCAGATCCAGTCAGGCCAATTTTGAGTGACAGAGCCCTTCCTCCACCCTTATCCAGAACCTGCCCCTGCTCCAACCTGTGGCTAAGGTAACCTATCCCAGGAATTGTCCCTTCCTCCAGGGAGCTTAAGGTTGTTAATGTGTCCTTGGCTACTCCATCCTGCCCTTCCCCCTTCAGCCCACCTCTTTCTCACCTTTGGGCCATTCCCTTGAGCATTCCTGGGCCTTGTCACGTAGGCAGGAAGGAGAAAGATAAGCGAGAAAGGCAGGAGAACAACGGAAGCCTAGGACATATAAAAAGGGCAGAGCACCTCGCTTCTGGGGATACCAGGATACCAGCTATGGCCCCCTCTCCCTCCCGGGAGAAGTCTATGTTACCCCTTTTAAAATAAACCCTGCTCACATGCTTGCCTCTGTGTGCTTCTCTAATGTTCAGACTTGGACATGTGAGGAAGCAGAACTGGTCACCGATAACTGGTGGTATCGTTAGGAGGGTTAGAACAGATAATGGAGCACAAACACTGCACACAGTGGGCACCCAGAGGAGTGCTCAAAAGTGGATGCTGCTTTTGTTTTTATCATCAGTTCTGAGTGTGTGCTCTGGGCCCAGCCGTGGGGCAGTCCCCGCTGACCAGCAGGAGCCCAGGGCCTCACAGTCAGCATGGAGACTTCCCCTTCCTCTCTCCTCTCACTGTTTCTCCACATCCTGTCTCTCATCTTCTCTGGTTGCTTCTGCTAAAGTAAAAAAGGGGAAAAGAGAATTTTTAAAAAGCAGAACAGAGGGATGTGTGTGTGTGTGTGTGTGTGTATTTAAAATAGTGTTTAAAGTTAAAAGTCCCGTTTCCAGAGAAGTCAGCATAGGCCACAAGATCAATGCCAGGAGTAAAAGAAATCGTCTTAGTGGGGATGGGTGTGTGGGTGGTGGTGGGAATTGCAGGTGCCTCCTGTCAGAAGTCTTTACTCTTTGCTGGGGAAAGAAATGGACCAGATCATGTTATGTGCCTGAAGGAATATGTAACAATGAATCCCACTATTATGTATGATTATAAGACACCAATAAAAATAAAACTTTTTTTTTTTTTTAAGAAGTCTTTCCTTCTCTTGAGTATGTCTGCTTACTGAATGTCCTAGGGGACAAAGGGCTGACTCTAAGGGAAGTGGGCAGGGCTGGGCCTTGGTAATGTCTGGGCTCTCCTGTGTTCCTGCTCTCCTTGTGTCCCAGGCTCACTCTCTGCGCTTCCTCACCCCCAACTCACTTCCCCTCTCTCTCTCTTTATCTCTCCTTATTCCTGGGGGGTGGGAAGGTCTCCATCTTCAGCATTCCTCCACAACCAGCTGATTTTTTCTGGGTTTCCCAATTTGAGGAGAAAAGAGTTGTGAGGAAGTTTCTGATTGCTTGAGCATCCCCATTATGAATCATATCTTTGGTTGCTCGTCTGATCATGCATTAATGTCCCCATTTTAGAATGT